GCAGGCAGTGACCTCACAAAATCTTTTGGTCAATTCAACAGCTTTTAACACACTTTGAGGGTCCGAACAAAAAATGGCAACATCGTCTGCGTATGCCAATATTTTAATGTCGCATTCCTGTAGTGTAAAACCCCTAATGTCTTGAGATTGAATGACACAGCGGCAAAAGGGCTCTAGGTAGATTGCGAAAAGCAAGGGTGATAAGGGACATCCCTGCCGTACTGAAGAGCGGACGTTAATCCCCGCACTAACTGTTTTATTAATTACTAGTTTAGTTTTGCAGTTTACATATGCCATCCTTACCCCCTCCAGCAGCACAGATCCAACTCCCACATGTTGTAAAATGGTAAACAGAACATCATGGCACACCCGATCAAATGCTTTTTCAAGATCTATCTGAAGTATAGCTGCTTTCCGATATTCCGCGTCACAGACCTCTAGAACACTTCGAGTAATGTGTATGTTTGTGCCAATGCTACGACCCTTTATCCCACAGGTTTGGTGCGGCCCTACGATTTCCCATATAACATGCTGCAATCTACTGGCTAAAACCTTCATTAGCACTTTATAGTCAACGATGGCCAGGGTAATTGGTCTGTAATTACTAGTACTACGGAGCTTATCGGCGTCATTACACTTAGGTATCAAGACCGTGTGCGTGCACAAAAAAGAAAGTGGTAATTCTTTTTTCTGATAGGACTGAGAAAAAACCCTATGTAGAACCGGTGCAATTCGCTGTTTAAACTTCTTATAGAAGGCCGTGCTCAAACCATCCGGTCCCGGTGACTTGCCTACGCTTAGGTCATCTATCGCTTTTTCGACCTCTGATAAACTAATCGGATATTCTAAAAACGTCGTAGTATCGCTATCTAGCTTCGGCTGACTTGGCAAAAATTCCGTATCAAACCCCTTTTCTTTTTGTATTTTCTTTTCAAACAAATGTGTATAAAACTCCACAAAAGCATGCTGAATACTGTCCTGATCTCGAGTTACTGCGCCTCTGTACTCTATTTCTTCAATCCGGTTCCCGCTTGCATACTTTTTTTCCAACGCAAGTGTCCTTTTTGTGGGCGTTTCCCCGACAATCAAGTTCATCGCACGGGCACGAACGATTGCCCCTTTATATCTGTCTTCATCTATTTTTTCAAGCTTAGCCTTGATAGTGCTTATGTCGTCTTTGAAGGCTCCTGGCGTTCTCTCTTCCTCTACATAAAGCCTTTGTAAATCCTGTCGAAGACCGTTTTCTACCCTTCGCTCTTCCCGCTTAATGTTAGTTGCTCGTTCAATCGCGTCAATCTTCACTTGCTGTTTGAATAGCTCCCATTCCTCACATATGCTATTTTCCGAAACGTCTTCTAGTCTGCCTAGCTTAGTTTCGATTTTCCCTATCAATTCTTGGTCCTCGAGGAGCTTTGCGTTTAACTTCCATAACTCCCACGAAAAGCTAGTTTGTTTTTTACGCTGACCCAAGGTAAAACTCACCAAACTGTGATCGCTAAACGTGACATGATTGACCGCGAAATCGTTACATTGGGGTACTAAATTCGCTGAAACATATACCCTGTCAAGCCTGGCATGACCTCTGCCTTGGTGGTGCGTGTAAAGGACCCAATGTCCCGGTGTTATGCATGGTGCCAGGTCTTCGAGCCCCTTATCTTGAATCAACTGATTTAAAACTTCGCTAGACCTATCGCTATTTCGTCTTTGATTTCTCCGGTCTTCTGGCATACAAACACAATTAAAGTCTCCCAGCAGTATCGTAAATCGGTCACTAATTACAAATCTGTCGATATATTCAAAAAAGGCGCGTCGCTCACTCTCCACGTTTGGCGCATAAATGCACATAACCCTCCACTTTTGATTTAGGAAAACAAAATCGCAGAAAACAAGCCTTCCCGATTCACACGATACAACGTTCTCTTCGATGAGCCCAGCAGCTCTCCTCAAGAACAGACAACATTCCCCAGATCTACCTACAGCATGGCTGACGCAGACATTATACCTCGATGTAAACGGTTTTACCAGGAACTCGGTCTGACTCTCACTTTCAACCTTCGTCTCCTGAACCGCCAAAACGTCTAGGTCCTTCTCTAAGAGAAGGCGACTCAGCTGGCACTGTCGGCGGCGTGCCGCAAGTCCCCTAACGTTAAGGGTCCCTATGCGCAGACCAGACGCTAGTTGTGCCGTTTTTTATAGTGTCAGACCCAGCTTCCGGCGGTTACCCTTTGCGTCATATTATACCAGGGTCACTACTCACTGCGACAGACCCCCGTCGCGGGTCAGCGACGAGGACCGCAGTTTGCTGACTTAGCGACCTTTTTTACCTATCAGCTGAAACTCCCCCTCAGACCACTGCTGTACCGGTGCGCCGTTTTTCGGAGACTCGTCGGCCAGTCTCCGTTTCACCTTTGAGGGATCCAGTTCCATGGCTGGCTCACACTCGATGGCTGCAGACTCGGTGCCGGTGCTCCCCATCGCCGTCACCGCCACTTCATCCGGTGAAGGTTTTCCAGGCGTTGTCTCCTGCCCCTCGTTTTCGTTGGCTTCAGGAGCCGTCAACGTGCGCTTTTCGTCTCGGACTGTTGCCTCCGCTCTCTTGTTGTCTTGACCTTCGACTGTCGCCTTGTCTTGCTGTGCCCTTTCAAATGGCGTCGACGATGTAGCGGCCTCCTCTGCTTCCGCTTCATCCATGATGAGGTCGCATCCCTCGTCGCTCGCTCGGCTGACTACAGCACTCGCGTACGTGCGTGCACAGTCTTGGGCCACATGTCCGAAGCAACGGCAATGCCCGCACCGAGGTACACGGCAATCGCGTCGTATATGTCCTTGCCTTCGGCACCGCAGGCATAACGGCGCCCGCCCGGGTACGACAACGAGGATCGTGCCCCCCTGAAGCCTTAGCTGATGAGGTAGGTTCTCCGGCGTCTTACCTTCCTTGAGTGTCAGTTTAGCGATCCTGGTGGTCGACTCGATGTCTTCAAAGCCTTCCACTCGCCACTTCTCTTCGGTCACCTCGTGAACTGTGCCGTACTCTTCCAGTGCCTTCCGGAGAGTGTCGTTGGATACGTCGAACGGGACCCAATGTAACTTGGCCCGAACTTCCTGCCGGTTGGGGTCTACGGGGATGCACAGCTTTCCCTTCGCCGTGAGCCGGCCAAGCTATAGCAGTCGTTCTTTCGCTGCCGCACTTTTTAGGCTACAGAGCCACACGTGTCCCATTTGGCACACACCTAGCCCTGCTACATCCTTTCGAAGGTCCGCTTTTTCCAAGGGCTCCTTGAAGTCGACGATCCTTATAGGCCTGGCGTGCACATCGCAGTGAAGGTACACTTGATTTTTTCCTTTGTCTCCAACCGGCAACGTCGGCAGCACGATCCGGTAGTCGGCAGGGATGCAAAAATGCCTGTCACCGCGGCCGGCGTCGGCCGTTATCACCTCGCTAACAGAGCGAGCCATCGCGCGTCCGCACTCTTCGACTGCCGGGCGCTGAATCCCGACCACGACTGCTCATACAGCATCCTCACATGAACTTAATGCACAAAAGCAGAGCGGTACATCGCAATTTCCCCAAGTAGTCACAGGACCCAAAACCAGCCATCCTGGCTGCCTCGGCCACGACTGCCTCCTGTAAATGGCTGGCTACTTCCTAAAAAGGAAAGATATGGCCGAAATATGGCCTAGACAGGATGCACATATACTATCTAGAACATATGCTTCATAAAGCACATGTATCCTACCTAGGCACTAAACGCATCAGAACCAAAACATCACACGAAATATTAATGAACGAGCTTAGAGCTGATCTATATATGCCGTAGAAAAATTATTGAAAAGCATCGTTATCAGTGATCAAGAGGCATTTACGTGTCCCACGTGTTTATAACCGTCCTCTCCTGTCTCAACTCCAGTGTCCATGCCAGCCATCGCTAATTTTCGGAAAAGTCCGGTCTTCTTTCTTTCCCCGTAAGTTTCATCTCGAACTTCCCACGTGCACAATTCGCTGACGAGAACCGTAGCGGGCCGCTACATGAACTTCCTCAGACGTTCTCGTTTCAGAGCATTTCAGAGCTTTGAAACTAGAAGCCGTTTCGACGGCACTACCCTGCAGGCTCGCTGCCTGCTGTTGAAAGCGATGAAACTCGCGGTTCGCGACCGCTCTTCATTTAGACTGACAGCATAGTTTATCGTCCATTTTTGCTGTTCCAATAGACTGCGGGCGTCGCAAAGCTAACCTTTCTGCCTATACCCTCACCTGCTAATGAGAAGTGACATGGCACAATATGTATATAGCTGGTTAGTCCTGCCGCCATTTAGCTTTTACAGTCAGGCGTGAGTGTCACGGGCAACGTCCCATCGGTGGCCTTTGTCCGTTTGCTGGGCGAGTGGGTGTAGGCAAAAGCATCAACAAACATCCACACTGACTTCACCCGGTCGTAATAATTTCGTGGGACAATTACAAAAAAAAAAATAACGCAGATTTTTTTTTTTTTTGGTAGAAAGAGGTGGACATATGCAGCACGGCTCTTCTCCTGACCCTACTAGACAGTTGTATATGTCATTATTTTTATTCTCTTTTGTGACTCGGCGCTCGAAACAGTTTATGCACTTTCCGAAACGATAGGCAGTCGCACCTCCCTCAGCCCCCCCCCCCCCCCCCCCCCCCTTCCTGTCCTAGCTGAGTGCACAAGCAAGCCCTAAAACGGAAACTTCTTGAGACGTCGTCGTGTTTCTTCCACCCAGTCTCAGGTGGTCAAAAATGGGAAACTTCTCGTTCGCCCAGACCTGGTTTGGGCAAACGCCGGTTTCTTCGTGATTAGCGCCGCGTATTGGCCTATAAATAGTATTGGTAAATTGCATTTTCGGAATCCTTGTCACCGAGGGGTACTTCCATTTATTTTGCCACGCTGACCTACTGCTGGATGTCAGGGTTTCTTTAACTTTGCCTAAACTCAGCAATTAAAAAGGGAAGACCTCTTACCAATGGCGCTTTCTTTTTGCAGTTTCGGCAGCCTTGGTTGCGGTCACATGCGCTGGTCACCACCACACGCGCCACCAACACAGGCGAAGGTAAGCTGCAGTTCCTTTCTTGAAACGGCGGGTTTGGCTTGTGCCGCCCGCGAAGCTAAGTATAGGTAGCAGAATTAATAGTCAACATATTGATGCAAAGTCAACTGAAATCTGCAACAGAAAAATCATCGACAACAGAGCCAGTGTACAACTAAGGGAATTAACAACCAAACGAAATCGCGTAGGCTCGGCAAACACTAAAGTGTTTTTTACAAATAATCAGAAGTACAAAAGATATCATAGAATACATATATACTTATCTTTACTCTCAATTTTTTAAACGTTTGGCGTATAACTGACAACGAATCACGCAGGAGCTTCGAGAAAGTCTTTTAAGAGCTTTATAGCACATGCAGTGGGCGAATTATCCAATGAATGCTCGTGTTTACCATACCTATGAAACTCGATATTAGTGATCAAATTACTAGATTCTGCATTAAAGGGGTTCTTCCAGTGGTGCTGTCACTGGGAATGGGAAAGAGATCGTACGTCGCGCTTCCATTAAACAAATCGAATTATGTTTTAGCATATATACGTTGTTATGAGATATCAATTCAAATCGTAGAAGAAAAAAAAAGTCTTAGTGAACAAGAAACGTTAAAAAATATTTACTAAAAAAATTACTTTTTTTTTTTTTTTTGCTAGGCGGAAACTTAGGATTCTATTTGGGACAAATGCATTTGTCCTCAATTTTTGTTTTAATGCTTTGCTTCAATATTGTTAAAGACAGGTTTTAAGGTTTTGGCAGTCGACACAGGACGCGCGTTTGGGTGTTTCGCCAGACTCGGACACCTTTCGTAGAACAAAGAAACTTTGTGCACAATTTCTCGAACTACAGTAGAAGCTTCATATATATATATATATATATATATATATATATATATATATATATATATATATATAAAATAAATTTGGAACCTGGCCACTCCAAGGATAATTTCCCTGCTTTGGTTTATCGTAACTTTTGATACATTTAACGTTATGACATAAAGGTTACCCAAGCAGCCGAGATCTTGGCCAAACATTGGCCAATTTCTGGCGATGGTCCTTTGCCAATGGCCAAAGAGTGGACATTCATCGGCCAATGGCTGGCCACTGTCTGGCCACTGGTCAAAGGGCCATTGCCAGCCATTGGCCAATGCTTGGCCAAATCTGGGTTGCTTGGGTATATATATCGATTGAAATCTTCAGCACACACATTTATATAATATATATTCGAGAAGTACAATATCGGTATTCTCAAAATTTTCTAAAAGCAACTTTTAATAGGGAGGAAACTAAGTATAAATTTCAAAGTCATTATTTTCAAAACGGCTATCTTTAATTGATTTGTGTGTGTGTGAGTCTGTGTGAATACTTCTTTAGATGGTTTAAAATGTCGAATAACAATCAAGTGCCATATAAGGTTTTGACATATAAGCAGAGATGGCAAAATTACTTTTAAAAAGTAATTGAATTACATTACTAATGACTTTTTGAAAATTCCAAAAAAGTAATTGAATTACGCTACAAATTACCGCAGACTAAAGGTAATAACATTACATTGCAATTACTTTCCAATTTTGACATTACTTAATAATAACTTGAAGCAGTAATTCGAGCTCATTTTAATTACAGAATATCTACCAAAACCCATATCTTCCTGTTAATACCGCAACAGCCTTCCTTATGCGCCGCAAGGTGAACCATACTGAACAGTCGTTATGGTGGCGCACCATGACTGTATACACTCGAAAAAAAGCCCGTGCGTCTGCTTTCCCGCACAACACTGGGAGGGCCAATCACCGCAACTTACGGAGGCAGCTCAGCGAATGGCGATGCCGGAACATAGGTTTAGACCAAAAAACGGAGTCTGAGTTGTGACATTAAGCCATGCAAGAGTGACGTTTTGCATTGCTTAATGTCACAACTCAGACCGCGTTTTTTGGTCTAAACGTATGCTTCGGCATCGTCATTCCCTGAGCTGCCTCCGTAAGTTGAGGTAATTGGCTCTCCGAGGTGTTGTGCGGGAAAGCAGACGCACGGGCATTTTTATAGAGCTAAAAACAATAAATACCTTCTCCTTTGACTCAAACACAACCGACTCACCGGTTTCGCTGTTTATTCAACGGTGAAGGTCCTTAGTTAAGGGGTAATAGGTTTCCGTCTTCCCGATTCAGAAGAAGTTACACTCCGTGTCAGTATGTCAGGCAATGGGAGCTCGTTCTTACATCAAGTGCTCCCGTAAGACGTTTCCCTTCAGCCCTCCCCAGAAGCAGTCTAATCCTATTCTCCCAGGAGCACTAATTGACATACTCCCGGTCATTCCTCTCACGTAGGATTGTTCCAAAACAGCCGAAGAGCCTGAGTTACTGCGCGTTGTCACACAAAGGGGCTGGATATTTGCTAGGCAGAAGCATCGCCAGCTGAGGAAAGAGGTGGCAAGAGCTTCCTGAAATGTGTATTTTCACAAAAAACGAGTGGCGATATCTGTTCTTGGGCTTATTTCTGAATTTCTAAGGAAAAAGAGCGTCGCATACCGCGAGCGGCACCTGCTTAGCTCGATTCCCGAGTTTTCCGACTACAAAAAGCTCCTTCACTTAAAGGCCGCCGTACAGTTCGCGCTTTCCACTTTTTCTGCGTTTCCTCCTCTCCTGCCCTCCTTTCCTTCCTTCACCGCCCTCCCCCACCTGTTTACCGCCCTCCCCCGAGGGGACAACACGGAGAGTGGATTAGGAGACGCCTCCGTTAATCCGGCCTAACCCGCCGAAGAGGGGGCCTGCTGCTTGACTAAAATTATTTCGCTGCTCGAAAAAAAAACAAAAAAAAAACGCCGCGGGCAGCGATTACATGCGCTTTGCCGGATGCGCAACGCTCCGTCCGCCTTGAAAAAGCTTGTATGCATTAGACTAACATTTTTCGAAGCGCGGCAGGTTTAGTGTAGGTCTATCATAATGGTCCTGCAAGATTTCCCTGTCCACCACAAGCTAGCCAATAATTCAAGAACAAAACGACCGAAGCGTATTCAAACAGTGTAAAATAAAATGTATATAATATTTATAAGAACACCATTGCCTTCACTGCTTGGCTTTCAAATTTGTAGCGTTGCCAATAATCGTAATCAAACTATTTTTATGATTGAAGACCCCTCGTCGTGCATCGACCCCAAGATTACGCTTACGTGAAACATGATTCGGCGCGGGAGCGGCTCGAGTCACCGTAAACTTTTTTTTTTTTTTTCAACGTGGATTTTGCTTTTTAATTTAGCTGAGGTACCACTGGCAGAACACGAATCGCATACTTGGAAGGTATATACCGTCTGAAAACTCATATAGCTGGTTGAGTGAATGCAATACTATCGCATTCGTTGAAGCTTGATTTGTTGATTCGAACTTCAACAAATCACACGCACCTATTCTCCCCATTCCTGTTTACCCAGTCATAGTCGTTCCCTCACGATGCAATACGAGTACAAGTAACTGCAGTTTATGCATTGTTGACGTTGCACAGCCGTGATCGCACGGTTTTTAGAAGCGCTATAGAACGAGCACAAGCGTCGAATTCCGGTACACTGATTGATTTCTGTCTCACCGCCGTGACGCCACACGAGAAAAAGCGATTTCGTTCTGTCTGTGAAATTAGGAACACAGAAATCAAGCTATAATCCCGGTAATAAAACAAAGCGAAATGGATCTCTGCAGCCAATACCCAACCGTTTGCGAGGTGACTAGGCGAAAGCATATATTACCTCCGTGCCTTTACCCTCTGCAAACCGACAGAGAGAGTCATACAAACTCCTTGGAGCTATTGTCAACACGATTGCGTTTGCAAGCCGGTAGTTTGACTCCGCTGGGATTCGTCCCTTTCATAGCTCTCTATGAAACCAGAAAGGTGGATACTTTTCTACATTGCGTTTTGCCTGGGGCCTCCAGTTATTTACGGCCAAAATCACACTGGAGGCGCTTCAGCAATGTTCACTCTGGTCGACACACGTGCACTCTAAAAATGCCAGTCGTCTGCCTTCCCAAAAGATACTTGAAGAGCCAATCATAGAGACCGACGGATAACGAGGCCGAAATTATGCTTATACCTCAAAAATTCTACAACACAAATTTGGCCTCGTCATTCCCAAACTGGTTGCCGGACGAAATTCTCTATGCGTATTGCAAGCCAGGATTGGTAATAGTAACATAAGATACGTACGGCAGAATTCCCTGCCATAAATAAAATGATTTGGCTAACGCCAAAGTAACGCGAAATAGGTGCAAAGAGTTTTGCAAAAGGGAGCGTAAACTGGAAAAAAAGGAAAAAAAAAAGAGACAGAAGAAATGGAGAAATAAGAAAAAAAAATCTCTGGTGACGTGGACAAAAAAAAATTCTGTTCATCTGATTTTTATTGACACGTGACCCAACAAAAAAAAATAGACACGAAATAAAAAAAAATAACACGAGAAAAAAACCATCCCCTGCCCGGTTTCGAAGCTAGGCCATCTTGATCGTGAAATTAGCGCGCTATTCGTTGCGCCTAGTTGCGCCAACATAACTTTTTTTTCTTTCTTTATTGCAAGTTGCGCCGACATAACTCTGCCTGTAATACTCACGCATTCTCACATCATAGGAGAAAGCTTAGGTGCCTTCGTAGTTTTTCATGTATGTGTTATTTTTATTTGCGGCAAGAGTTCACGTTCCAGAATGCTGTTAGAGTTTTGGAGCAAAACGAGTTTTCTTCATCCGAGTCACCTTCTAGAGCCAGTAGACCGCACTGGGTCGTCTGGCTAATCAAGCAGCTATTTTCAAATTCTCTGACGTGCCCGTCCTCGCATTCGAGGTCGCGTTTGACAGGCTTCGCTTTCTTCCACCTGGTAGCCGGAACCCCCACGGCAGCTTTGTTCCGTCCCCACTCCTTCTCGAGAGGATGGCTCGCCCCGAGGCTAATCCCATTCTCTAGACGCCCTTTCCACCCAACGCTGGCCCTTTCCCTCCCCGTCCCCCAGCTTCAGGAGAGAAGGTTCTTCCCAATG